GGGCTACGCACAAATGCCAATTACCATATATACAGGAGCCAAGGTCTGCCTTCTTTCACCGTGTTCGCTCGAGGGCCGAGAATAATAGCCAAAAAGCAGGCCGAGGATCTCAATTTTTACGGCGTTTCTAGCCGCGTCCCGGCGCGAAGGGGTTAACACAGAGACTTTTAGTTAAGACGGAGTGGCATTAATGTAATCGCTACTGGACACAGCATGCAAATCTTGTAGGTACAGGTTAAATTGCAAACAACTGTGTCCTGATCTAAAATGTGCACGGCTAATGGTAAAATCTCTGAGATGTTTTGAAGCCTGACCACCATAAACTAGTTTTATCGTAAAAGTGCTGTTTCATGTATCATGGTCTCACCCCATAGTTGTTCATGGTGTTGGGCCGTCCTTTGGGCAAGTCGGTGCTCTCAAAATGACAAATCTCTTGGATGAAATCTTGGCAGAACTGGCGAGTGAAGATGGGAAACGAGAACACCCTCTCAGCTGTGAATGAAACCCAAAGCAGAAATGATTCGAGGAACAGGACAACGATTTGGTTCTCAGAGCAATGCACTGAATACTCTCATCAACTTTCATGACCTAGCCTCTGCTAATTTAGTTACTCTTACCATTTTCTTGATGTAACTTTTCCACAAGTCCTGCCACATCTGCCCCTTCACTTTTGCAGTATTCCACGAGGCTGACAAACTCTGATGTAAAGTAACTCCTCTGTTAAATTGAGGATATATAGAAAAAAGTCCATTCTCAGTTCACACAGCAGTCGTCTACTGAGAAAAATTCTGTACACCACTAACGATCATTCCCACTTTGAAAAGTTCACTTCATGAATTGAAGATCAAATAAATACAATCTGTGATTCAGCCAATTTAACAAAAGAAAAATCCTCCCATCTCTAAATCCAAATACCAGAATTAGCCCCATGATCGAGTCTTGTGGAAGTTTGAGTTTTTAATGAAACTAAATATCTGTGAGGGACCATTTACACAGATGAGCAGTAATGAGAAGTATTGATATAAAGCAATGAGCCCCGAGTCCCATCCAAGTCACTTTGAAATTACACCAGAGCCTATGGGAAGTGTATGCTGCAACTACCATAGACTCGTGTGTCCTAGTAATTTGTAGCCGCAGCCAAGTGATGTGGACAATCTTACAGTCAGTAAGTGGCCAGTCTGATGGTACACACAAGGCAGAAACTTGATTTGATATGCAAAGCATTACTGTACTGATTTCCCAATTAAGCAATAAAGCCCCATAGGATGAATGGAAGGCACACTCACTCTCGCTCCAAAAGTCTCCCATGCCATAGTCAGCCAGTGACATGACATCTA